CCCCGCAGCAGGGAGCTGGTGAGCTACCCTAAACTGAAGCTGAAGATCATGATCAGGGATAAGCTCGTCCGCGACGGCATCCACCTGAGCAAACCCCCGTACTCCCGCAAGGTAAGGAGGTGCCACGGGGGGCGAGGGGGTGGACGGAACGCGCGGCGGGAGGGGACGCGGTCCAGCGGCCGTGCCCAGGCTTGGCAGCTCATTCCAGGGGACTACAGGGAGGCCAGGATGCTTTGGGTGTCTGGGTCGCTCTCCTGTTTCCTTTCTGTATTCGCTCTCTATTCCTTTCTGCCTGGTGTTACCTGTGGTTGGTAAGGCGCGATCCCGCACCCAGGTGTGTTAAGTCTGGTTCCGGGTAGCCTCCAGTGCTCTCTTGTCAAGAGTTAGAATCGCGGTGCTTCTCCTGGTAGCAAAGGCAAATTCCTAATGTCCCCTGTAGTAGTGTTTCGGTCTGAAGGGTACCAGGAAAATGATTAAGACCTACATTTTTTTTCGATCTTTTTTTCTTTTCTTTCCTTTTTTGAGTTTTGAAAAATTTGCTCCCAAGGAAAATTGGCAAACTCTTTAAAGAGTGAGATTTCGTGGTCTGTCTCTCTCAATTCCATAAAACTGAATCCTAGCCCTGCTGTAAATTTGAGAAGTGTACCATTGATATTCTAGGGTCCTGGTTGGGGAAATTCTAGGGGGGAAAGTTAAGGAAACACGTGTCAGTCGACTTGAGATAAGTTTCTAAACTTTACTAAAATGCTAAGGACAGTGGAGATAATAAGGGCACAGAGTGTGCTTCAGAGGTCTGTGCTGTCATGAGTTTGGTGTATTATTCATACAGATGGGAATGAAGTGACTTCTAAATATTCTGTGTGGACCCGCGTTTGGGAGAAGATGACAGAGCACAAGGAAGTGACCCAGAGAGGGATTCTCTGCACAGGGACCTCAGAGGAGGCTGGGAGTTCTGAGAGGTAGAGTGGGCTTTGCATAGTTTACAGAAAGTGTTAACTTTCCCCCAGAGCCCTGCTTCTGGCCCTAAGTCTGTTCAGTTTAGGTTTCTGCAGCTGTCTGAGAAGTGGGCCTTCATTTGACTGAGCACCTCAGCTTGAGAATCAAGACTTAGAGAAGCTTAGGGAGAACATGATGAAAGAGATACTCCGCTGGTGAGGAGGTGTGCAAGAACAACATCCTAACAGGAAATGCAGATGATCTCAACGTTGTGTGGGCGTCTTGGGCCCTCATGGTTTTGCTTTACAGTCTTAGGTAAAGGTCATTGTGCCTAGATTAAAGGAAGTTCAAGGGAAAGCTTTGTAAAAAGTAGATAACAACACCTAGGGCAGAAGGAAATAAGGGGTTTAATATTATCTGTTATTTTGCAGGTGAGATAGGTAATTCAGATAACCTGCTTGCGAGTATAAATTAATTGGTTTTCTAAGGAGGATGATATCAACAGGGCAAGTTAGGAGGACAGATTGCCTCAAATTAAACACATGTTCCAGTTACTCACTCTTGACTGAGCTACTGAATTATTCCTGGAGTGGGAAAGGAGAGGAGAACACCATTCTCCCAGGCAGTTGAATCTGCAGGTCTGTCTAATGTGGATACAAGCACTTGGTCATCAGTGTAGAGGTTGATCTTGGACACAACAGGTCAAGGGATGTCGAAGCCAGTTAGATGTTGGTTACTAACATCCCAGGAAGTCAGATAGGCTTGGGCTGAGAAAATGAGAGTGCCTGCACGCATAGTGGGGGCACAGTTCAAGCCCTGACCAGAAAGGGCTGCAGACACCAAGGTATGTCACTACAGGGCTTGCTTTGGTTTCAGGAAAAGTGCTGTGTGATGGGACTGGAGGTGATAGGGGTGCTCATGAAGTGACAAATTTTTACTCTGATTCTTAAAAAGCAAAAAAGACAGTCCTAAATATCAAATTTAGGAGCCAATAAGGATTTTAAGGACATGAAACGTCTGAGTATAGGCTTTGAACTGTGGTCTCCTGCCTAGATCAATGAGTGGTACGGTAGTGTATCTGCATAAGTGCGATTTATTTAAGAACATTTCAACTCGCGTTGCAACACTACTTACTTCCCATGTAAAGAATTATTTCAGTCAACTTTGCTTTTATATAAATCCCATAACAATAATGTTTGATAATAAAGATACGCCTCTGTTCACTTTCTATGCATATTTAATTCTCCTTCTCAAACGAATGGAAGAATACAGTCAGAGTAGAAGTGTTTTCATTAGCTCCTTCATGGTTGCTCCAGCTGGGACCAAAAACATTGGAGCTGACAGACTTTATTGTAAGAAAGAAAAAATACACATTGAAATAGGAACTGAAATGCAATCAGTGTACAGGAAACTGAGTATCCAGGTGTGTAGCACCAGATCACGCTAGTCATTCTAAATTTGCTGCTTATGTGTGCATGGCCTCTTAAGTCTTAGATTTTAAATAAGAATCTGTTTTCTGTGCAGCTTGTTTCTTCATGACCAGTGCTAGGACCTTTTCTTTAAAATGTCATCCACATCCGAATTTCTCCATACTCCTCGGCTCTGTCATGATCAGAATGCCTAGTGTTCACCATGTGCACTGGAGTTCAGCTGAGTGGAATGGGCTTCCACATCCTCTGCAGTCATTACATCATTGACACCTGTGATTTTGTACTTTGCTGAGAATATTAGATGGATTAAAGATGGATTATCCCAAAGGTGATCAAGAGTAGTGGGTCTTTTACAGAGGAAAGTAAGTTGAGGAATTTTTCCAAGAATTCCCTAACAGGATTGTAGGATTTGCACCGGTAGTCATTAAGTTAGCCTGGGTTAGAGATCAGTGAGTTACAATGTGTAAAAAAATTTCACTTCCCAAAGGAAGTCTATAGCTTTGGAAAACCAGAAATGAAATGATGCTGAAGAGTCCCTCTCTGCCCTGCATGTAGCATCTCTGACCACTGGGATTTGTACCATTGCAAAATGGGGACAATATAGTTTTTTTTTTTACCAAGTCTCTCTATGCCACACCTTCTGTGGGCCTCCAGGCTCTGCCCTCTGGGCACATAGAGTCCAACAGGAAAGACATAACATAAGGAATGAACAATAATGATAAAGTGGGATGATTGTCTTGCTGGGAAGCACAAGATGCCATGAGCGGTGGCATCTAATCTAGTTCACAGAGAACTGGAACCACAGCAGGCTTTCTCTAGAACTGTCATGTGACCTCAGAACTGAAGGGTGAGCAGATTTAGCCTGAAGAGGAGCAGGATCTAAAGGGAAAGAGTGTTCTAGACAGAGAGAACAGTATATGCAACGGCCAGAAAAGGGAGGAAGTTTAGCATGGAACATGGTTGCAAATGGATTCTGTTTGACTGACTCAGTGAATGCTGGGAGGAAGTGGTAAGAGATGGAGAGATGGGTAGGGTAGTGCCTGGTCCTGGATGGCCTTGAAGTTCTGTTGAGGAGTTTGGAGTGTATCTAGAGAGTGGAAGGGAGCTATTGACAGATGCTGACTAGAGGCAGAGCAAACAATTAGGAAGTTGTTGTGGTGTCAGGAGAGAGATGCTGGTGGCCTAGACTTCATATGACAATTGACTAAGAACAGTGGAGGGAGAGTTGACAGAACTCAATGATTGGATAGTAGGGTACAAGGGGAGAGAGACTGGGATGATATGCAGATTACTGGCTTAATACAGTGGTGCTGTTGCCTGAGGTAGGAGACCCAGGAAAACAGCAAGTTTGTGGGAGAAAGATGTTACCTTCAGATTTAAACCTACAGAGTGTCAGATGTGGTGTCCCCTTGTGGTTGTCTAGTTGGCAACTGGAAATAAAGCTGTGGCGCAGAGGAGAGATTTGGAGCAAAAGATACAGATTTGGGACTTGTCAACACACTGAAGCAGTGTCTATGATTGAGCCAAAGAGGGAGGAGGGGGAAGGGACCAGGACTGAATTCTGGAAGATACCAGGATTTTAGAGGTGGGTAGACGAAGAGGAAACTCCAAGAGGGGCTGAAAAGGGTGCGCAGAGAGGTGGGCAGAAAGCAGGGGAAGGAATGTTCTGGAAGCCACTGGAAGTAGTAATACTCAGGAGGCATTTCCAGAATAATGACCAGAAAAACAAGAACAGACTCACTTCTAGGGGGGTAGCGACCACACCATCGAGGACCTTTGTCACAGCAGGTTAGATGATGGGACCGGTGAGAGTGGAGACAGGGAGCATGCACAGTTTTTAGATAAAGTTTGACTGAGAAGATAGGATGAAGGCTGCAGCTTGAGGAAGACTGAGTCAAGGGAAGGATTTTGTGGGTTTGCTTGTGTTCAGAGCATGTCTGAATGTTGGAGGGAGGTAGCCGGAGAAAGGAGATAGTGACGGACAACCCAGGAGACCAAGGTCCTGGAGGAGGTGGGCCGGAATAGTGCCCAGGGTACATAAGGGAAGGATAGGCTCACTTCCACTTCCAGTGTGAGGGGAGCACCTCCCCTGCGATTGAGGGAAGGGAGGAGGGAAGGATCAGGAGACTGGGAACTTTGTAAGGGTTATACCAAAGAGCATGCATTTCTCTGTGTGACCAGATGGTACTAGTGAGGGGGGAGATGGAGAAATAAGAGGTTTAGAGGGAACACGGTGTTAATATACAAATGTTAGATATGATGCTCTGGTGTTTATGACTATACATGAATGTAAACATTATACAAGAGAATCTATAGGATTATACATGATTGTGCACATATAGAAGATACCCTCACCATTCATGTATTTGGGGTGCAGATTACAGGTTAGGTGTGATGTTTTGTTGAGTTCTATGATGTTAATTCTTGGGGGGGTTGTAGCAAGTATGAAGGTTATGGTGCTGTAAAGGTATTTTATTTCTGGCAGACTTGGCAAAGCAGAAGGCAGGTCTAAGGGTGGGTGGGGGAGTCTTCTAGATTTTTTCACTGAAAAGCTGCTCCTTGCCACATCTTCCAATGAAAATTATTTGCATTAGCATAACATTATTTAATATTGTTGTAGGAGTGTTGATATTCATTCACACCTAAGTGTGAATTTAATTAAGTAATAAGACTCTTGTGGTAATAAGGCTATTTATAGATATTTTGACCTGGGATGAAAGAATTTGGAGACACAGAGGTAACTTC